CCAGCGCCCCGCCGACAGCCCCCGCCTCGCCCCTCTCAGCGCCTCTGGGCCCGCGCTGCGCCCCCTCAACTTCCCTGCGGGCCGCCGCACCGCCCCTCTCCCCGCACCGCCCGCGCCCCGTCCCGCTGCTCTGCCCCTTCTCTTGATCTCCTGGAGTGGAGCCTGTTGCTCTGGCCCTGCTCTTCGCTGGCAGGTCGCTCGCCCCTGCGGTCCCGGGGTGGCAGCTCTCCTGCGGGCAGCTGCAAACAAAGGGCAGCTTCTCATGGGAGCCTGTGCTAGCCCTTGGGGAAGAGCGCGTGTGTTCCTTTGGAGGCTGCACTGGGGTGATGCTTGTGCACAGAGGGTAACACTGCACTCCTCCTCCTGTTTCCGAAGGTGAACGGAGTACTCTGCAGCTGTACTGCTCGAGGAGTTTTGTTTGTGCATAGCCCCATAATTATATCTATCTAGCTCGGCAGAGCAGACTGCCACAGTCCTCGCCTAGAGCAATTTACAGCAAGCTGCAGGTGCAGACTTTTGCTGCTGCTTCTTTAAGGGTTTGTTTAATTCTTTTTCAAATTATATGGCATTAGTTGTTGCTCGGGTGCTGATTCTTGGGTGTGGATTAATGCTTAAGTCTTTCCCAATATCAGACTTTGTCACTTTATACATTTTGATTTTTAAATGCTGTGGTGTTGTTTATTGCTGCACTTGATGTGTGGCATGCTTGATGAAATGCTGTGGAAGCACTAACAATGTCCTTAGGAGAGATGGTGTATTGAGCAGAGCTTGACAAATGGGCTTGAAAAATATACTTGACACCTGCTTGCTTATTAGTCAGTGTGAAAAGTAATTCCGCTACCTTGGTTCCCTCCAGACCAAGCAATTCTGTAGTGCATTTTCACTGTAGTGAATTTTAAGTCTGTCTTCTATTTAGCATACTTTTACATAATAACTTTGTCTCCTGTTTGTATATTAACTTTTTTCCTTTTCTGGCTTCACTTCATTTTTCTCCCCTCTTTTCATTACTATATTATAGTGTATATTTTCTGGGTTTAATTGTCTGTTTTCTCTTTTCTTTCTCTTTTCCTCTCCCGCTACATCCCTTTCTCTCTTCATTTACACTGAACGCGCTACTGTTTGCACTTCAATTTTTCTTTCGCACTCAGTTGCCAGATTTTCTCTCATTTTTCTCACCCAAACTCTCTGCTGATCCATTCCCTCATCTACGGATCATGAAAACTTTATCAGACACCAAAGAGCTGGCAAGAGAGCTCAAATAAGATTGGAGACCCTGCTCTTGTCACCCCACAACACACTCCCTTTTCTCTCTCTCCCATATGCTGGGAGGGGAGGAGGTATTTAAATTACTAGAAGGACATGATTCCTGAATGTTTAGGAACTCCAAGTTCCCACTAGTAGGCTTATGATGAATTTGAGACTTCACCCAATAATCCTTTTCTTTTTCACATTCCTCTGCTTCCAACACAGTCCCCTATCTGTTCCAAGGATAGGGTTTCTGCTAATCTAGCCCTTGCCTAGCTGCCTCCATGTTTTGGTGTCATAACTTCCCTTGCTGTTGCTCTTTAGACTTGCCAAACAACAGAGGGACTATATATGATTCTTGTCAGCTTCATTGTTGCTCAGAGGGTTCTGAATAGCAGCAAAGGAAAACTGCTGAGACTGGTCACTTGTTACATCCTAGCTAGGCAAAGCTGTGAGCAGAACAGGAGGATTGGAGCTGTCAGTTTGCAGACTTATAAAGGAGTGCGTAAATGGTTCAGATTTGGAAAATTATCCTTGAAACCATGAGTACGAGAAACTTTTTAAAATGAATATTTTAAAGTCTGTGAAAGTTAGGAGCAGTATTCCTCATCCAGGAAAATTTACCACCGAGTCTGAGTGGATTTTTCCGCCCTTACTGAGTTGGGACTGTTGCCTAGTTCTATACTGCTTTTAGATATTGGCCTTTGGTTAATGGTTGTCCTTATAAAGGTGAAGAAGATCTTGTTCTTGATCATATTCTGATGCTTTCTGGGACGTGTGGGTCTTACGGTCCACACGTTTACTGTGGTGGCGAGCACTGTTTAGTTGCAGTGTAGACTTCCAGGAGTGAGCAGCCTGAATTCTGAAATCCTCTCACCTTTCAGGGTCCTAGAGCCTGGGCTTCAATCCAAGTGCAGAAGCAATCTTGTGAGCCAGCTGCAGGTGTCTAAGAGCCATGGAGACATGCCCCCGTACTACAGATACACCCTGCTTCTCCTTGGAGATCCAAGTGAGAATTACAGTTGAATTTGATTGACATACAGTTGTGTAGGAATGGGAACCATATCAAACTTCCCATCCACTGCCTCTGATCCAATCTCTTCCAGGGGCTGCCTTGTGTTAGGATTCAGCTGATGGTAGCAAGCAGAAATGAGAGGTAGGGTGGAATTTGGAAAGTAGTAGTGCAAAGAGACCAAAGCATCAGGAAAGAAAACCGAGTTTAAAATGTGATATGGCAACAAAAAACTTTGGGTTGCACTCATGGGGGTAATGTGGGACAAGAAGATAATTAAATATCAGGAAACATTCCTGCAATCATCTCTGAAAGGAAGTGGAATTCTCATCCCCAGTAATCAAAGAATCACAGAATACTAGAATTTGAAGGGGCCAAGTCGTCAGTTTTATGAGCCTACCTTTAGTCACCTAACTTTGGGTGTGTCTTCACTGCATTCCTCTTTCCAGAGAGGAATGCAAATGCAGGTGAACGAAATTGCAAATGAAATGAGGATTTGAATTTCCTGTGCTTCATTTGCATAATTGCCTCCGGGTGCTATTTCGAAATACCCTATTTTGAAAAAAGAAAAGCTGTCTAGATGCGGTTATTTCAAAAGAAAACTGGACTAAATACAGATCCCTGCTGTACTGTATTCTGTTTGACCTCTTTTATATTAACTGTCCTTGAACCTCTTTCAAGTCATGTGGAAGCACAGCTGCCCAAGGCAGTTGAAATTCAGTAGTGTTTAGTCCAGGGGTGGCCAACCAGTTAGAGACAGAGCCAAAATAGTTGTGGATAGAGTGCGAAGAGCCACGTATTATATATTTATTTTTATATATCTCTAGACAGAGTATACAAAATTTAGTGATAAAAATAACATTACAGGATATTTTGGACAAAAACCAATGAAGTCTCTAGTTACTTAAAAAATTCACACCCAGTCCATAGATCTTCAGAGAACTTGACAAGGAACAAACATCACATTAAAAAAACAACTTTTAAACTACAGTAATATTCTCTCCACCATGTATTTTAAATTTAACACTACTACCCTATTATGTCCTCTGAGTTTTTTAAAAATAAAATGAACTGAGAAGTAAATTAGCACAATTTGAAGTGCCTGTTTCACTCCAGCTTGTCGAACTCTGGTTTGGTTTCCTCATTTTTTTTTTTACTTATGAAGATTATGAACTTGTGCACAGAGCAACCGGCCGTGAGCAGTCCGGGTGCATGGCTCAGAACTAGCAAGAACTGCATTTCTTTAAGCAAAGAGCTGCATATGGCTCGAGAGCCCTGGGTTGGCCATCCCTGGTTTAGTCAGACACTGCTTATTACCCTATTGTAGTCTAGCAATGTCTGCTCCATTCTCTTTACCCATTAAGGGCTTGTTCTTACACCACTGAGCTGTGGGGGAGCAATGCCATTGACTTCAATGGGAACTAAATCAGCTTCTGATTTTGTGCCCCCCCCCGGCCGCCCCCCCAAAAAGCCTGGTTGACTTGAGCCGTGCATTTTGTTTTGAGTAGCCAGGGTGGGGCTATTCAAATAATTAATTCTAAAAAGAAAAAGATGAATTTAAAGCCAGGTTAGAGAATGTATTTGAAAACTTGTGCTACTGCAATCTTAGATAATACATTTGAAATAATTAGATTGTAAACACTTTTAAAACGTCACCACGGGTAGAGGGGCTAGCTGGTTAAGTGGTAAGACTCACCTTGGCGGATGAGGCTTGCCAGTTAAGGTTAACCGGTAGGGCTAGAGGAGCCTGCCTCAGACGGGGCTGCTCCGGCGTGGCCCCTGCCTGCGGCAGCCCCCAACATCCCGCAGGCAGTGGCTGCTCCGATCAGGATGCCAGAGCAACCTCTGCAGTAAGCCAGGGTGCCCCGTAGGAGGGACTGCTCTGGCTGGGCTGGAGCAGTCCCTGCCTGTGGTGGGAGGGGGAGGCTTTCAGCCCAGTAGTAGGCAGGGGGGCCGCTCCCACTGGGTTGGAGCACCCCTCCACTTGCCCCCTCTACTCAGTTAACCAATATGTTTAACTGGTTAGCCAATTAAACAGCATTTTGTGTCCGCATTAGGGAGCCTTATTTGAATTTGTCAACTGCTATCTACAGAAGGCACATTGAAATGAAGACCCAGCCCTACGAATGCGTTAGCAGGTATATACGTGAACTTGTGCTAGCATCCCGTTGACTGCACATGTGACTGACAACTCTCATGTTTTGGGTTCGAAACACTAAGGGCTAAAATGGTGGTGGTGGTGGTGTTAAAAATAATTTCAGATTGGCAAACCAGTGCAGGCTACAGTGGGTTAAAAACTGCAGCAACCACAGTCAGTCTTGCCTACTCCACCTGTCAAACCAGCTTGTGCGCTCTTGGGCAGAGCAGCACTTGACGCTTGGTCTGCACTGGGGGGTTCATTCTCAGCCATTTCTTGGAGCCTCTCCCAACATGCTGTGAAACCCTCCATGGCCTACTTGTGCCACATCACCCGTGCCTCTGCAAATCCAGGGCTGGCAGTAGAGGGTGCTGAGCAGGACAGTTGCCTGGTGCACTACAAAGCTAAGTTGTTCAGGCTTTGGCTTCAGCCCCTTGTGGCTTGGGCTTGGGTTTTCCGCTCTGAACCCCAGTGAGTATATTGTTGGCCCTGCTCTTTGATTTAGTTTGGTGCACTCCCTGAAACGTTTTGGGGAGGCCATGGACCCCTGGTTTGGAATGTCTGGTTTATGCTACCAGCTTATGTTGGTGTAGCTATGTCGCTCCAAGGTGTGGAAAATCTGCACCCGAGCGAGAATGTTACACTGCCCTAACCCCTGGTGCAGATAGGGCTGTGTTGAGAGGGGCTTCTGTTGTTCTAGGGAAGTGGAGTAGTTATGCTGATGGGAGACACTCTCCTGTCTGTGTAGGTAGCATTTTCACTAAGTGCTACAAGAGGGCTGTAAGTGTAGACAAGCTCTGAATAGGTCTGTGGTGGGTCACAGCCTCCCTGGAGGGAAGGCATGCCTGATACCAGATTGAGACCTGTCAGTGACTAAGACAGCCGCAGGAGGGGGTGCCTTACCTGAGGGAAAGGGTGGGATCTGAGCTGAGCCCAAAGGGTGGGCAGATGAATAGCTTCCTAGAGCCTGAGACCTGATTGCCTTTGTTTTTGGCCTGTGACTTTGGGCCTGCTACCTCAGCAAGTGAGGTCTGAACCTGGTCAGTGGGCAGAGCAATAAGTAGGGTTCTCAAAATTCATGCCTGTGAAAAATGTGTCCTGGACCATGAAATCTTGTCTGTTGTGTACCTTTCAGAAGTACA